TACTTTCGCAGATGGGGGCCGACAATTGCTATGTATATTCCAATTGAGTAATTTTTGGGAGATTTTCCGAATTTTTGGACTGGCACGCAACCCGCCTACTCTTGCGAATGCCCTCATGGGATGTGTAACGGCCACTGTGACGCAGACGGCACGTGATTATTACCGTTAATACACACGCAGTATTAATCAGGGTGGCCACTGGGCACAAACTGTGAAACTCTGCAACAAGCGCTCCCGCCAGATCACCGCCTGCTACTATATATGGACTAAAATATATGTTTATTTTTACGTGAAGATACAGAATGGAGTTCTGCTTACATATTATTTCGCCTATAACGCTCACACAGCAGAGCATAATGAGTTTGTGTAAAATATTGCTTTTTTACGATGAACAGAGCCAAATTGTTTAGATGAAGTCCCTTTTTCCAATAACATCAGTAACGCAGCAGGATTTTCCTAAACAAATGCAAGTGGGTAATTTTGTTCTGGCAATCCAGTAGGCTGATGGACTCAAATGGGTTTTTTTTCATTTATATGTGGAGATAAAGAATGGAGTTCTGCGTACACATATTGGTATCCCAAGAGGCTATTTTGCCCGTGTCTCACTCACAAAGAAAGACTCGCAGCGCCACTCAATTTACATTGATGAAGATGTCTTAACATAAGAAGTCTATTGGCAACAATAGCAACCACCGAGGATCACATATCGATCATATTTACGTCGGCAGTGTTTACCCGATAAATGTATGCGATGAACAAAAACCAAAGTTAAACAAGTGTATTCGAAAACTTCGTGCTGTTGTGAACACCTCTGAGCGACACAAAACCTCTTCAATTCACTGCCCGATGGACCTCAATTCACCGTTATACCTATAACTTTTGTAGAAACGTATCTGCCTGTAAAAGGGCAAGCGCGGTTTGTCGAATTATACAATTTGCACAACTACCAAGTCGCGTGCTCGCTGTTGTCGTTCAACATCGCGAGAGAATGATATCTTAACCGGTCCCCTCTCACCAACGCAAACCGACCGGCGCTTTGAAAAGAACGGGGGTCAAAACCAGAACAGCCCCCAGGACCCACGCGGCGTCATATAGGCCTTCATCCAGCAGTGGATTTGACTAAGGGCCGTGTGATATCGATGAATACATAGCCGGTAATGCGCACACCAACTGCGATGTAATACAAAATAAAACCAAGCTCCTTGCCGTAACAGTTTATGTCACAGGATCTTTAGCGCGCACTAGAGATGGATGGCACCTGACAGAGTGGGTGGGATTGCATTTCATGGAGAGAGAGAGAGAGAGGCGAGTTTCACCTCCTCTCCAGTGTCAGAACCCGGCAACTGGATCAGCTGTTCCACGTTTGTGCGCATGTCACCGTAGCCCCCCCTGGCTTGGCTCTCAGAAAATGTTTTAAGAAAAAAAAACTGCTCAGCATGCAATTAGCTACTTGGCAAAACGTTCAAATAACTTGGGGACTTTGTAGACCAAGATTTTAGAAGAAATAGCAACTTACAAAGACAAAGATCCCCCGTATAGCCTTTACAAACTGTTGGGGCAAGTGTTGTTAGCGAGCACCTATGAAGGCCGGCACGGTACACGAGGGGGTGGGTGGCCAGCACCACGCCCGACCGCATTTGTTTCCCTAGTGGCGATGTTTACACACCGTGCCAGGTTACTCATTTGAGGCTGAGTCGACCTAGGGGAGGCCCAGGATCGGTTCATATGTTTGTCACCGATGTTGGCCATCAGCGGGAATCGAACTTGAGCGGTTGGGTTCGTACGTAGCACAGCGCGCTAACCGCTGCACTACCGCTCACACTGCAGTGCTTAAAACACACGCGCACACAAAATGGCACTGGCAAAATAAGCTATTTTAGTTCATGTGGCTCGAGTAATTAAAAGCCATAAGTCATGCCTACTTGATAGTTGTCCAGCATCCACTTTGAGCACATTACTGTGGACGCAAGTGAAATGAGCACCACTCGGCCTGTCTCCAGCCGAATGTCACGCCACCGTTCAGGGAATTGTGCGCAAAAGGTTACAAAGATCAGTTTTGTCTGGTCCCACGGCCCCACTCCCCACAAGCAGAGATGAGGCTGCAGCCTTGGCGTACATTTAATACAACATTCGGGCAATGCAGGACACTGCATGTTTGTCATTCGAGCACGGCACATCTTTAGGGTGAAAAAAAAAATTTCATTTGAATTATTTCGACGATTAATGCAAATCCATCATTTCTTCCCCCGTCCCCCGTCCCCCGTTTTCGACTGATGGGAGATCAAGAGGCGAGGCCTCGTCTCATCACGCATTAATTTGTCTGATTATTTATGAAACCCCTTGTATGGCCTTCTGAGCTCACCGCATTTGGCTGGGAAAGTGTTGGGGGTAGAGAAGGAAAGAGCCTTAACATCTCAATGGACCACTTTTTTTTTTAACTAAAAGCTATTTTTATTTTACCAGGTAAGGTCCACTGAGCTATGTAGCTCTTTTTCAGAAGTGACCTGGTCATAAATGAAAGCTCAACGAAGTGGCTTATGGAGAAATTTCTAGCAGCCAAATACTACTCTAAATGCATGTTTCTAAACGTGGAAGGGAAAATCGGAAGACCCGGAAAAAAATCCACACGACCACAGGGAGATAGACACGCAAACTCCAAATATTCAGCCGGCACGTCAGGGTTGGGATCGAACCCACGATCTCCTGCATACCAGGCGAGGGAGTTAACATCTCGCCACTTGCTTTCACATCGGGCACACACACACACGCACACTTCAGGGGCATAATGCACCACAAGCGCTCGTGCTCAAAATGGGCGGTTGTGTGTATCGCAAAATGTACAGTTAATATGTGAAAACATGCAGCCTTGATGCTGTGCAGACATGGAGCCGTGGCTTTTGGGGGGGTAGGGGGGAGTCTCAGTGGGAAAAAAATACCAAAAGGGAGCCCCCCCCCCCCCCCCACCGCTACGCCGAGATGCTCGGCCGACAAGTCAGCTGCGATGAGAGGGGGCTCCGTGTCTCCTCTTCAAGTTTGGAGGCTTGAGTGTAACTCCCTAAAGAGCAGGCTGCCATTTCCCATTCGCACACCCGTGATTAATTTAAACAAAAGCACTTGAGCATGCTCTTGTGTGATTCAAACTCCCATACATAGGCCGTGCGAGGCACGGTTGCGTTGAGTTATGCAAAATGTGCGAGTCGGGCAGAAACTGAATCGAACAACGGAGGATAAATCCACAAAATGTCCCTACGAGTGCCAACTTAGCGAATGCTCTGCGTAGCAATTTACGGCCAAACTCTTTTACAAGAGGCTGAACAAGGAAAGCACTTAACACCCTTAGCCATACACGGGACTATGTAACCCGTTCTTTCTGAGGACGAGGGCTTGACCCAAGAGCAAAAACGTAAACGTGGCGATCGCGAGCCTCACGCCCGAACAAACCGCGCGCACGTGGAAATGTTTACACCCCCAAGAATGTACATTTGTGCAGCATTCCGTTTTGCGAACTTTACACCGGCAACACCACGCAACGCTTCTCACAATCCATTACGGGCTGCGCTTTCAGTTGATTTAACAAGTCAACAAAAGCTCGCAACGCTTTTCTCAAGCGGAGTCAGTCAAACACGAGGCAACGGCACCCCCCCCGCCCCCCCTCAAATTTACAGCCGTACACCTGGGAATACACGCTGGCGACTTGTTGAAATGCAAAACACCCCACACGGCATGGCGCAGAAGTCGGGCACATGCAGCCGTGCACGAATTATCCACGTACGCAAGCGAATGCACGCGCACACAGATCGGTGGTGCGTTCCAAGACTGCGTCGGCTGACTGGCCAGCCTGTGCTGATACGGGGTTGTGTTGACAAATGCAGGTTTTCAAAACTCGTGTAATATTCAAAACCGTGGTTCAAAACCCCCGGACAATTTGTTCGGGTCAGTAGGTTTATCAGATAGTTGTATATGTGTGTGTGTGTTTGAGTCGTTTGTAACCGCGGGGAACGTAGAAGCACACTGGCACCGTTTTTTTTAGCGAACGGCTCGATCAACGATTGTTCACAGCAGCCAGCAGCATGGCATGGGAGAGCCTCCAGACAGCTTCGTGGTGTTAATTGAAAACCGTGCAAAATCATGAGATGCTCTAAGGCACCGCCAATGTTAATAGTAAGGTTACATAATGCCGTAACATGAATGCTTGTGGTGTTGCACCATTCTCATATAGCGCAAGGCCGTTAATTTAAAAGGGTGTAATTTTTGAGACAGGCGTAGTTTTCCAGTAGGGGTTTATGTGGTTTTCCCCATTTGGATACATGAGATAATTACGAATGTATTTTTTTTATTTAGCAAAACCTGGACCGCAGCGAAGGCACGCACAGGCCTACTCGTTTTCGGATAACGTCGCCGGGTATTTAACATCCACTCTGAAAACAGAGGGCACGTGTTTGATTTTTGTGTTTGTTTACGTTTAACACGCCCGTTGGTAGAGGCCGGTGCGTTGGGGGACATGCTTGAAATAAAAAATAACATTTTAATCTAAAGTGATCATCAGCCGGCAGGGGCTTTTCCTCATTGACCAAGAAGGGGAATTGAAGTGCAGGTCAATGAGATGTGTGAAGCGGCAATAACAACCAACAATTTGCCAAAAAAATGTTTTACACGAAGGAACAGGGGATTAGGTTTCACCAATGAAAAATACATTTTAAGTGCAAATGCGCTGCGCATGGCGGTTTCAAAGTCACGAATGGCTCACTTTCCTTTTACCATCACCGAAATGTGTCATTTCCCCAGACAGAACGGGACGACTATCGCGCCAACAAGCGTGGCGGCGTTTTTGTGGACGACAGAAAATAAGGAAACGTATTTGTGGATGATTTTTCTCTCTCTCTTTGAACTGATAACGGTGTAAGCAGCGGTGATTACGAGGTGCGACTGCCACATGGGACACCTGAAACATCACAATCTATTTAGCAAAATAAACGAAACCGACTATTCGCAAAAGACAAACGCCATTTATTTTCACATTTTCCATGACAAAATCCTTTGGTATATTCTATTAACTTACTATACGTGTGAATACGTAGAGTACTCATATATATGTTTAAAAAAATGGCTAGTGTGCACCGCATATTATTGCAGAATATAGTGCACAGAGAAGTCATATGAATACCGTGTATGCGCCCCAAAGAAGTATATCCAGGCGAAGGAACAATGCATGTCTGTGCTGGACCCAAGCATAATGAAAGCAAGCTTCAGATCCGAGCAAAGGCCGCAGCTTTTCTGGCGTTGCCTTCATCGGGGCAGGGGGGATCGGGTAGCATTCACTCAAGGTTACACTTTGTCAGATAATTTTAACTTTTTTTCTGTACTTCGCCACCGATTCATTACGGCCATTTAAAAAAACCTGACATTTGTTTTGGCAACAAAATGGTCCAAAATAAACGTGATTAATTAAGGCACCCATGTCATCGACGTATTTTCTATTTCAGAACTTGATACGGAAAATTGGCTAGGCTAACTATTTTTTTAAAATGTGGCTTTTGAAATATATATTTGTACATATGATCTGCTTGTTTCTCGGCAAGGTTCGTTGAAAGCTCTAAACGCTGCATATTTTTGTCAAAAATTGTGCTCTGTGGTAATTGGCTGTGCATTTTAATCACACGTATGTACACCCCCAACACATTCGCACAAACACATGCACGCCCATGTTCTCACGTTGGTAGAGATTTCTGCCAAACTGGAAGGACCACCTCCCCCACAAACCCCCCACTCGTGAACAGAGGAAAGTTGCCATACGGCCAGACTTGCATTGTTCAGGATTTAGCCCGGTCATGAAAGGAATAGAATCATCTACCCACACAGACCCTAAAGATTCAGCAGCTTTGCAATCGTTCCAGCAAAAGTATATAAAACAAGCTTCAGTAGCAAAGGTGAACTTATGATCAAGTATAAGATTTGGAGTGATTACATTTAAAAAAGTGAATTAGCCCCATTCGTCGGGCTAATTGGTAGGTGATATCTCTTCCAGATGATTGTTGACCATTCTAGTCATTTGGTTTCTGCAATGTGGCAAGAGTGGCAGCTGTGCTAGAGAATTATGTGCATCAACCCTTTCCCATTCCGAGACGACTGCAATTTGCAGGGTAGATCCCGATCGCCGCTGAAATTCGGAGACAGCTGTAGCGACATGAACGCACTCTACGATACAAACTGTGTCACACGCTCTCAAGCATGGTCTTGTGTGAGCTCGGAACTGATAAAGTATTTTTTTTTCTTCCGGTTGAAACGGAGCTCGAAGAAAAACTGATGACGTACTCGTGCGTACGTCATCGGAACGGGAAAGGGTTAAGAAGTCACACGGACGCTGACGGTGATACTGATCAACAACACAACCACCGACAATGCTCCCGAATTTTGCGTGTCTCCTGCACACACGGGAGAACCGCAACACTGCAGAACCACGTAGGGCCCCCCCCCCCCCCACGCCTCTCCACATCAGCCCCGTCGCCAGGAGCTCAGAATCGGTGCTCCAACCTGACGGTGACGTCCCCGCGACCCGGGCCGTCGGCCACGACCCGCAGCGGAACGCTGAACGCCACGCCGCCCATGAGGCACGTGCCGCTTGCCTCCGCGCAGTAAAACACGGCGGCCTCCAGCGTGACGGTCGAATCGGCACCGTCCTGGCCCCCACGGGACGCCACGAGCAGCGGCACCGTCGTGTCGGCCAATGGACGCGACAGCTGGCCCCTGGTCGACTGATTGCCCAGCAGCCACTTGGGACCTAGGAGAGAGATATTGACAGTAATGAAATAAAAAATGTCACTGACCGGTTGTACGGTTGTTTGATGACAGCTGCCTCCTAAAGGCAATTGAGGAACTCAATGGGCAAGCCTCCAAGTAACGTGGGTGGCACTAGCTTCTTGATCTTGTGGGAGGCCACATTTCATCACACCGTTTGCACCATGCCACGCACTGTTCAAAACAATTGTTTGTCAGTGGGCATGTCTCGTATGGCGTAGCTAAGTGTGAGCCCCCCACCTTCTCCGAGGCCTCTGACCGGTGTGGAAGATAGGGCCAAAATACCCCCGAGAGGGGCACTCTAGAGCTCCCTCTAGTGGAGACCCGATATAATACCTGCATACGCATGGCAAATACGGCCACTGACCAATCCACACTGACAAGCATTATGAAGTATGATCAAGTAAGCACCAAGCACTGCACTGGAGGGGAAGCCCTCGTACAGAAGTATGTTTATATTTATGTCTTCAGGAAAACGTATGCGCTAAAAGTACAAATAATAACTGCCCAGCTTACATGATCAATAATTACCGTTGTGAACATTTACATTACATAATGTACTCGTACGGCAATGATATATTCTTCGGCAGCATTTTAATAGTCGATAAACATGACGCACAGATGAAAGGATTTTTTTTCATGGGAAAGCAAGCAGGGCACAAGGCTTGAGCCAAATTGCTTTCATCAGGACGCAGGGGGAGAAATACACAGAAACGCCGACTATATGGCAGGATTAGAGTTACACGACTCAGATGTAGGGGCAGTTCATTGTTGAGAGTTCTAATTGAGACATATGCCCATAATCGAGCCAAATTTTTCAATAATCACAGCTGGGGGCTCCACAATGCTATACACCGGAGGGGCATCTTTAAACAGATTAAATCGGCAGTAATGCTGAAATACGCAATGAGATGCAATGCCGAAACTCTAAAGATGTCAACAGCATATACCTGACATGTGTTACCGATTCAACAATAAATTAATCAAAATCAATGTAATGCTTGCGATCCAGGCATCGAATTGTGCGTGTATCAATTGATTAGTTACAATTGATGCATATAACGCAATATGGAATGTTACATTTGAGCTGATGGAAATTATTGAAGCACAACGAGGGAGAACATACGACATATCGAATATAAGAGAAATATAAACAAAGTAAAAAAAAATGCATGATCAGTTCGTGAAACAAATTGACAATTCGTTAATGCACGAATCGTGACAGAACCATGTGTGTACACAGTTGTTATCGCAACCTTTATATAATGTACTAATAGGGGTCACTAGATTGTAAAAAATAATTATGAATATATACGTACTTAATAACCTCGTACCACAGATAAGAGTGCCCGTCAACTATAGAGTATACATATGAGTTACGCACAAATACCCATACACACACCAAAGTAAATGCAGTACTGTATATAGATTAACGTGGATACATTCTTACTGGCTGCATGCAGCAATCTTGCGAATGAAGAGGCATGCAGTTGTCCAGGCATATTTCGAGGTTGCAAATCGACATCGCATTTGCAGTGCAACAATTTCCTGTACATTCAAGAGCTGTGAATGGACCCCCTCCAACGTTGCCCGTGCGACTGCCGTGCAAAAGGAATCTAGCAAATTATTTTTCGGACAATTTCTGATGTATCATAGTAACACCTGGAATTTCCACTGGCGCAAATGGTAGAAAAAAATCACATTAATCCGGCAAAGCCAGGAAGGCGGGCAAGCCACGAACCCAACAGCGAACAAATTGTTTGGTGAGAATGTATGCAAGGCTCCAACAATGCGGCCAAAGCCAGATGGCTTAATCACATTTCATCAATGCCCATGTGCAGAACTCATCCGGCACAGCGGCCTCACTCCCTTGTTCCGAAACTACATTTGCAGAGACATCCGATCCTCCACCGATGTTTAATTATTTACCCCTTCAGTTTTCTTTGTTGTTGCTATTATTGTTTGGACTCTCGCTTCCATACGGCATCTGAACAGCAACCAACGAAAGAGTTTCTGCGTATGTTAGGTATAGTAATCCATTCAATGGGATCAGGAGTTGCTTCATGTAAAGCACTTGTGCCTCCATTTTGGATTTATTATCATCTTATTGTATTACCGTTATTATATTATTTTCTATACTTACTGTTATATATGTATATTGAGATTCTGTGCTCCTGACCAGAATGTAAATTTTTTGGTGATTTTTTTTTAAAGCTGCCCTTTCGATTTCAGTATTTGAATTACGACAAACAGCAGCCAATTTTATCACATTCCTTTGCAAACCGCACATTGTTTTTGTGAAACTGTAACCGAGGCACTCCTAAAGACGCTAGAAAATACATCTGATGCACACTATTTGGGCACTCAAAAAGAGGCTTAGCTTACACCCTTTCGCTCCCTGTGGAGCATGAAGTCGCAACAAGCCCGCGCCATGCCGGATGGTCTTTAGCAGCTTTCTCTACTCAAAAAAATGGCAACCTCGCATTTGAGTTCCCACACCGCAGTATCGCTGAACGAGACAAAATAATGACCGATGTTTATCAAAAACTCCAAAAAGCTATTTTAAAGAAAATAATAAACAGAATTATCGATTTACAATAATATCTTTTTGTATAGAATAATATTTTCAAATATATACGTTTGATTCAATGTGCTTCAGCAGCGGCTTTGGTGCCGTCTCTGTAACGGTAATAACATAACCTTAAAAAACGAACGTCTCGTGCTTGCACTACCTTTGCTTTTTAAGTAAAAAAAACATTCAAATATTCACACGCATCAGCAGCGGTATCATACTACGGCAATATTAAATTTGGTGGCCGGCACGTGGGCCGGCCCAGTGCGCGGTAGTGACGTCACCGCATCTATCTGCGTGATGACATCACGCGCATCCAACTGCGTCGATACGATTCGCGCGTCGCAGCGCCGACTGTCATAACGCCTCTTCCACGCCCACCCTCCACCTCAGTCGAGTGACCCGCACAAATACGTGGCCAGTCCTAGTTTCTGTAATGACGAAAACGTCCTTTAAATCAATCGCAGTACCGCACAATGACGATTTTGAAAATACCTTAATTGAGCCATCTGTCAATAGGCGTCTCGAGTGCGAAATAACAAGCAACCTATCATTCCGTTTCGACGTTCTTTGCCCGCTGTCCCGGTCAGGTCATGGCCTCTGAAAAACACAAAATGTGTGTATTTTGAAATGGGGGAATTTTTTTGAAGGTAATTTTTGGTCTATTGTTAATCCTTCCACTTTTATATGAAGAATAACAAGCGAACGAATAGTATTACACCGAGGACATTTTGTTATATAAAAAATACTTACTCGCATGCTTTGCAGCTGCATTGTAATGATCTATAGTTCTAACTCGAGCTGTTTAGATGTGTTAACTCAATACGTGGGATGAAATGCGTATGATTGTTTATTTGATTTAAGAATTGCCTATGTATTTTTTGCTGATGTCTGCTTGTCCCCTCATCCCACTGATCATGTTTATTTCACCCTATATCGCGTTTGTTCAACACAAAGTGTACAGCGTGGTACGCTCTTGTAGTGTGCCCTGAGGATCCGAACGGGTGGTATAAATCGTGGGGCTCGCAACGTTACTGCAAATGCCATGGACAGCGCACACAATTAGCCACGAGAATGGAGCCAAATTTCCTTCCATTCAGGACAAAAACATCGACTTCGAGCCGCCATTAAATGAAGAAAGCTGCCGTTCTTTGGGTGCATCAATAGAGCCGGTAAACTATCCACGAGCATCCAACAAGAAACCATTATGGGGACAACAAAAAGAGGACACTGCAAGGAATACTTGGATTCACAAAGTAACAGACTGGACAGACTTAAACAACTCCAGCCAGCTAATCTGTGAGAATCAGGACAGGTGATAGGTGGAGGGAGATAAGTATGTATGCGTGTATGTTGAACTTCTTTCGCCCCTATACAAAGCCAACCGTGCTAATTGGAGGTGCGGGATGATGATCAAAGCTGCCAACACAGTGCCTGAACAACCTCGCTGCTAAAACCGGGAATGGGAGATAGGCGGAGATGGATTATCAAGTGCATTGTAAATCCGGGTAGGTGGCATGGCAATTAAAGCAGAAAGCTCTTCATCGGAGAGTTGTGAGTTTAAATCTTTAGTCGGGCATTCACTCAGCCATTTATCCCTCCAGAGCTGACAAAACGAGTACAAATTTTGAGAGAAGCCAATTGTGCGGGCGTAGCACAGACCACATGCCATACGTGGAATTTCAAGCAACGGCTCAGAGCACCGTAGACAGCTGACAAGCGCTGCCCCCACGTTCGCTCGAGAGAGGCGGCGCACTTGACAATTTGCTACGGGATCACAAGGTGCGTCTCTGCTTGCACACGCGCGCGGGGGTTTACGCGTACCGAGAAGTTGCCACGCGCTGGGCGCTCCTGCCGTGAGAGCTGCCCCCTCAGGGAGGCTCAGCGCCAGCACGAGCGAGACCACGCGCCCCACCGCCACCTCCACCGGCGGCGCCACGGCGTGCGTGGTGGCCGATCGCGACAGCAGCGACCGCGCAGGGCCGCTGTCGGACTCCACTTTATCCACCTTGTCCGGAAAATGAATTGGCAACTGTCGGGGGGGGGGCGGGGGGGGGGGGGCGGGGGGGGGGAGAAAAATAAATATTTGAGGGCCTAGGAAACAAATTGACAATCTGATGAAGTACTGAGTGCAGTTATAAGTCAGTTACATCTCAACGGGTCTTTTTTGACAAAAGTTTGAGTGATATTGTTTGTAATCACAATGCTACCTCACATGACCTAATATATGAACACATTTTTTTTTTACTATTACGTTTGGAATTGCGTGTGAAATGTGAATTATGCTTTTGCGTACTACGAGGTATTTCTGCAAATGATGAACTAAGCTTGTTGATAAAATGACTATGGCTCGCTCTTTGCAAACAAAGAGCGAGCAGTGGAGTGGTTTTGCGCACTGCACTATGAACCCAAGCCACCTGAGTTCAATTCCTGGTCCATGCAAACATCAGTGGGCAAGTGATATTTGAACCGGTCCTGGGTCCCTCCATCACCAACCCACAATGATCGGTTCGGTAAAGTTTGGTCAAACAACTCCAAAATTCGACACGCCATAGAGAGGCCTTCACCCAGCAGTGCAATGGCAAAGGTCTGTAAATTATCATTATTATTACGAGTGTGCAAGTGGGTTAAATAGGTTATTTGAAGTGAGTGAAAATACCGTAAAGAGAAACAACTTAAAACATTTTCAAATCTACACGATACAGGTGGATGGTACAGAACACACCGGCATGTACGTATGTGCAAGGGTGTTCATGAGTTCAAAAAAACGATGGGGTCAGGGGAAGGAAGGGGGATTAGTCTGCCAGATTTAGAGAAGATTAATGCCTCCAAAGCCACGTGTACAACTTAGATATACAGAAATCACAAAATAAGGAAATGTGTTCTCAAGATACCAGCGCTAAATATTAGATAGGGGGACACTGATGGAAGCGAGTCTAAAGCGGGAGAAAAATCAAGCGTGAAAACGGACATTTTTCTTGCAAAGGCCTTACATTAATAACTCAGCCAAAACTATGCCACAGACACCAACGAATACATTTCAAGAATTCCTCAAAAACCGAGCCTTCTATATTTTGTCCGTTTTTAAAATGAATCACCGAGACCAGCAAATCCCATTTTTCCGCCACCCCCACCCCCCCCTTACAATACCCCCCCCCCCCCCACCAGCCTGCGAGTGATTCATGTCCCGGTGTTTTCACAAGAGTGCTCATCTTTCGGTCCAGCACCCTCCTCAATGCTGCCTCACCAGTCCAAGCGCACCAAACAAAACGATGAACTCTTTTGTCAAGAGACTCGTCACGCTTTGTAAACACAAACGAGATTTTCTACGCCCGATGTCCCTCGCAGCGCCAATAGCAGCAATAGGTGGCGGTCATGCCTGTGGCCTAGCGTGGTGGTCGGCATGGGCCCTGGTGCGAGAAATGCAACGGGCAGCGCCCCCCTACCCCGATCCTATCTATTTATTCCCCTATTCATTTGTAGCCCGGCGCCCCCTACAACCTCTGTGCCCCAGCGTGGCCGAGTTGCACAGCACGGCTCCCACTCCGCCTCGACGGCCAACGCCACGCTGGGCGACTCGGACCCTCGACGGCGACTCACCGTGGACAGGGCGCACGTGTCCAGGTCCACCACGCACACGCGGTGGTTGTTGGTGTCGGCGACGTACAGCACCTTCCCGCCGTCGCCCACGCACAGGCCGCCCGGCTCAGCCAGCGCGTCGCGTCCCAGCGGGGCAGCCGAGGGGCCGCGGTCCGGGGATCGTCCCGACCCCACCAGGGTCACGCACGCCCTTGTGCTGGTGTCCACGGCTTTAATCTCCACAGAGGTAAATGAGGAACAAGACGACGATAAAAAAGAATATTAATAACTAAGCGATTGGCACGCGCTGCCAAGCGAGGGCCTCCCCATGCCGTGCCGAGTTTGCGAGGTTGTTGGTTTACACTTCACAACGCTGGTGAGCGCGGGTTGGTGAAGGCAGAGAGCGTAGATGTGGGTGCACAGAAGTAGAGTACAACGATGGCTTTTGCTGCACTGCCATCTGGTGCCTGCCCATCCAAGCAGTATCCGGGCTCAACTCTGCATAACTTCCAAGATCTAACAAATGTGGGTGCGTTCTGGGTGACTTGGTAATAGGCAATAAAATGATTTATTTTATTTAACCAGAAAGGCTCACTGAGTCTCAACACTCCATTTCAGGTGGATTCTGCATTAGGAGTCTTGGAAAATGTAATTAATTAGAGTTTGACACATTGGAGGAAATTCGAGAACCCGGAGAAACCAAACATATGAGGGATGAACACACAAAAGTTCCGCACAGATAGATGAAACCCATCGCAACAACGTCATCTCCTCGCCACGCAGCAGTTCAAGCCTACAACACCAAGTACTAACCAGGCTCTAAAACACTACTTTGCTTCCGAGATGTAAAAACATCAGGTCGTGGAGGGGTAAACATTGTTCATCTCAACTCAAAAGCGAGTGACCTCTACATAGCGAGTGTTTCAAAAGTAGTGCAGATCCCAAGAAAGGGTTTGTATGGTAGCCACAAAATGTATTTTGTGTTGTTGAGTTGTATAGGTGAGAACATCCCGAGCCGACTTTCTGTTAACACATTGCATCAATGAGTTCATTTATAAAACCACATGTTTAAAATTGCAACGATAACAAAGCCAAATTAATAGCACATGCTCGACACACAATAAGAAATGAGAAACAAGAATGGGGGAGGGGGTGCGGGCACAATTGAGTTCATCAGCAAACACAATAAACAGAGAACATTCGTTAAGGTTGGATAAACCTCAGCAGAGGATCCCTACAATCACTGTAGAGTTGATGAAGAGACTATAAAAGGTATTAATACAAAATCAGATAAATGTCAGCACTCATTAGGTCTGTCAATAAATCCCACGATCTCTTGAGTCTATGACCATATATTAACCAACCACATATGCATTGCTCCACACACCCAGTTTATCCTAGGGCTCTGTATATAGCAAAGAGTCACTGAAGCACTGTGCTTTTCAAGCTTTGACATTGAGCAAGTAACGGACGCATCAATTCATCGGGTTTTGTTTTGGTTAACTAAACACGCACCGAACGGTGTGAGAATCAATTTACTATGATTTGTACGCATTTTTATGCCAAGTACAAACTCATTTAACATTCAGGATAACGGAGCAAACGAGATGGTAAAAAAAATACTTAAACGAATCGTGAACAAAATCGCAAAAGCGAATCATTAAATGCCTATTTTACATCCACGGTGAGACTGCAACAACTACACGTTTGGCTCTCGGCTGTGTTTTTTCATCGTGTTGAACCGAGCGTGCATTGTTCGGCAAGATGTCTGACATTTCCCTCCTCTTAGCAGCTTACATTCTCCCTAAGTGGTGCACTCTCAAGCAGCAGAGCTCTCTACTCATCCGCCAGGGTCCCTGCGAAGCGTCCGGCTGTGGCTCGCATCCACCGCAAACCTCGCGCGTAGGAGGAGGAAAGTGCCGCAGGGCACACGCACGGCCCACCACATCCCAGGGGGCTTTACCCCCACACCGCATTATCCTATTACGCGCGTCAAACCCGACGAGAGGTGCGGCCTCTCGTGTGAAAATCTCTGAGCCAAAACGGCGCAGCTTTGAGATTAAAAAAAAAAAGTTTAGACAGCAGCACGGGGTGGTCCGGCTCACAGGCCTCTGCAAACCGCTAAGCGTAAATCTTACCTCACATGGGCATGGCCCAACCAATATGAGAGTCTCTGGGTTTAGTGTCTAATGTCGAAAATTATTTTTGATCATACTAGTGGGCTGGGGCCCAAGGCTAATTTTATCTCTTCACCTACCACAGTCTTGGCCTCAACAAAGTTAATTTGTATTGCACTTCTTTGCGGAAGGTTACCGACTTGTGTAAAATGGTAGCTTGCATTCAGGCAGTGCGTAAAAAATTAAGACCTACAGTGCAATTTACAAGCTGTAAAAGCACGTTTACACTTGTTCTTAAATCACAACATTAACAGGTTTGGAGGACACTTGCAAAGTAATGATTACAAACCTTTCCCGTGTGTAACTCATTCCCACAGTACCACAACAACAGCAGTTCAGAAACTCAAATTGAAACTTTCTGCCACAGCCAGGGATGGGTCTAAGTGTAAAATAACACTTTCTCCTGCCCCCCTGCATTCCAAACACATTACTTGTTTTTTTCCAGCCAACTGCTTTCCCACTAAATTGAGTTGTATTGAGACGACCCCGTTGGGCACTTCAGTGGGAGGATTAGTGTGACAAGATTAAGTTAGCAGTTTTTGAATTGGTTCATGTTAGTTTGAAATTAAATTTTCTTTACATTTTAAAATCACCAATTTGCCAAATCTTGCAAAACCACTCAAGTGGAACTAACTTTATTTACCGTGTGCATGCAAAGAGGGCTTGCTCAAGTTCCTACGGCAACCTGAGCTTTTACCTGGGCTGACCTCGGAACAAGTCCTGATATGAGAGGCCAGCGACATCCCTCACTTAGTTCAACTTCAGGACCATGTTATGTGTGAATAACACAGCGAGAAAATTACAAAATTGATATATTATAGCTTATATTCGCCTATTTTATCGCAACCCAAGCCTGCCTTGAAATTGCTTGTAATTATTACTAAGGTCTTTTTTTGCTACGTACATCGATTCCTCACCCTCCACACCCGCTCACAGTGGGTAGAGCGAAGGACGTGGTAGGGAAGGGCATAGCAGATGGGGCCAAACCCACAGAACATGGGGGCATAGGCCCATGGCCTTAGTGCTGATCCTGTAAGTCATATGGGCAATTCCTAGGTCGACACAGCCTGATTCGTAGTGGCCATTGAAAAATAGCATTCGAAACCCAGCGTAAAGAGCATTCATGAATAAACTAAATCAATTTATATTAATATTCGCCAGCCGCTCTTCCAACCACTGAGAAATTAACAGCCCAGTGCCCGGGGGGGGTCTCACTCTCTGATGGTCTTAAATGAGCCACGAAGAGGGGACAGCCTTGCCATCTGGCCCGTAATGTACACAGCTTTGTCTTTAGGGCTTTTCTCATCGTTCCAACACGTTTCATGGATACCGCCGAAGACGCTGAAAGGCAGAGGATGCGGGGCCGTGCGACGCCTCACCTTGTGGTTGTAGGAGTCGGCCACGTAGAGCAGGCGACGCGTCTCGTGCCACGCCACGCCCAGCGGGTGCTGCAGTTTGGCGTCCACGCCTTTCGCATCCACGTCTCCAAACGCAAACAGGTTCTGTTTCCCCCCCCACCACCACAGAGAAAGACGGTCGCTCAAACGATGCGCCATCGAGGTCATCAAAGGAAACTGTTGCGCAACTTGTGCACATGTGGAGGAGCGGTTGCGTGGTGGTTAGCGCGCTTGCGCTGCGAAGCTGCCAACCCGAGATCGATTCTCAGTCACGGCCAACACCAGTGATTTTTTATAGCTAGCTCTGGGCATCCCCTTCGTTGACCCAGCCTCACATAAGTACCTTGTGCGATGTGTAAACATTGCCACTCGGGAAAACAATGATGGCCGGGCATGGTGCTTGCCACCCACCCCCTTGTGTGCTGTGCTGACCTTCATAGGTATTCGCTAACGGGACTTGCCCGAACAGTCTGTTAAGGCTTTAGGGAATCTTTGTCTTGGCTAGAAATAACATAACGGATACATAGAGCCAAGGTTCAAATCAAATATTAAAAATGTCAGTTTAAATTACTTTATGACCTTATTCTGAAACTGGTCACGTACTTAAATTTAAATGAATGTTCGTTTCCGCTTCTATTCCTGTTCAGCCAAAATTATTTTAAGACACAAGATATGTTAAAAGAATATAAAACTTATTTTTGAAATATAGGGTTCCGAAAAGCTTATTAGTATTTCAATTTGCTTCATATTTACATGATCGGTTAAGACTGTTTAATCATGCACACACTGTAAGAAGATGTACAATATTTTCTTTTTGGTTAACAATGAAGAGTAATTGAGAACTGCAGAAAATACGAATGCACTTCAATAACAAAAACAATATTACCAACGTTATTTCTTCGTGCAATGAATACTGGCTATTTACTCAAATTTTTTTTCCAACAAAATCATGAAAAGAATCACATTATCATTCACAACCCGTATTCCCAGACATAAGGCTTGATAATAAGCGTTACGTATTCATCATTTGTTATGCTGCCGCCAGAAACAATTGGGCATCACATCCAGATGCACACCGAAGGTTGAATTGACCCAAAACACAGAGCCTGACGAATAACATTTCATTTTTCATTGCTTTGAATATGTATGGGTGGGAGGGAGAGAGGGGTGTGTTGCAGGGCTTTATTGCATGACTGCCTCCGGTTTTAGAAAGCAATTTTTTAACATGTCCCTCCATTACTTGTGATGAAACCATTTTATAGAACCATTAGCAACATCTGTATTTTACATTTACCCCTTGCTGTCATGGTGCCCATAACCACAGCATTAATCTTTCCACGCCTGTGCAATAATTCCTTTTTTAAAAACCCATGCATAAAACGTATACACTTTTATACAGGTGGCTTTTACAGCACTTTTTAATCCAGCTGTCAATCAACTGTTGTAGAAGTCCTCCCCATATCACGTCAGTCATGGGGATTGTTTGACCATACTTCACCATGCTGGTCATTGGAAGTTGGTGAAGCGATGGGTTGGGGGGGGGCAGGACAGGATCGGTGCATATTTCACAGGGCCACTGCTGTTAGCCGTAGCCGAGAATCGAACTTGAGTCAAGTTCAAGTTCATTTATTTGGTATAGCCCTGTGAGCCATTCGGCTCTTGAATCGGGTGCAACCGCAACAAACAAAAAACTAAAACATGAACAAAAAACATCTTAAAGTGAATATGTGACTAAGTGCAAACAGAAAATCCAAGAAAAGACAGCAAAATATTGCAGAAAAAAATCACCGTACACCAACGCTGTGTGCAAAAATCCCAGTGGGATGCAATTCACCGGGGTTCATAGTGCAGTGCGCTAAGGACTGCGCGACCAGTCCACCAGGCTCTTGCGCAGCGGGTAAGAAATCCACAAGTGCAACATCGACCTTAGTACGATGGTCCCCCCGAGACAACTCGGGGATTACGTCAGCAGAAGCATACACTTATGAGAAATATATAGTTACAAAGATGGTCTCCCTCACGCAAAAAGTGAACAGGCAAATAAATATTGAAATTTTCTGGCTGACTCAGGGTTCAGGGAACTGAACCACCAGCACTGAGAGCCTCAGTTCAAATCCAGGTTTTAGCCGCCCATGATTAAACCAGGTTCTCAAGTGTAGTGAGATGATGGTCTTAGGCCAATTGTTGATGGCTGCACAAATTCTCACATTAAATTAGATTTTGTGATGCATTTGAAATATACATTGGTTTGAGTGCAATTCCACTAACATTTCTCTATAACAGCGCATGTGGCAAAGTGCAGTACTTCATTTGTGAGAATTTAACACGTCACTTGGAGTGATCTCAGAAGTAGTTTTGTGAGATCTCCATCCCCAGGTCGTTGTCGAACACAGGGGAGGTTGTATCCTCACGTCGTGATACTGCCAGAACAATTTGAATAAACTTGGGGAAAAATAATAATACAATTTTGATTCCTTCACATGGCAAACATCTTGTAGAGGTCTACTACACTTCACTATGAAAAATTGGCCGTACAACTTCACGGTCGAATGTTAAACATTGAACGTGGCTTAGCACGAAAGGCAGCGAGTTCATCCAGCAGATGAAGATAGGAAATTTTGCAAACGTCGCCATACAGTGCAACTGACTAATTTTTACATTTTCAAGTAAATGCTCGTGTTTTTCTCAATAAATAATCTGTTGAGGCTACATTTTTAGCAATTATCTGCAACATGAGCAGACTTGAAAATGCAAACTGGCAAACGTTTATTAGTTTTATATTACATGTTCTGTTAACTTTAGTTCTAGTACATCATGGAACTGACTGCTTAAGGCTAAAACTCTGCTCAAGTTTGTTTGCCTTTTTAACATACAGACATTGCTGATACAGCACTAGGAGGCAAGAATCACCCCATTTAAAAGGACACTCAGCCTGCATTTTCCTGCTGGCCAGAAATATTGAAGTCAACCCAAGCTATCGAAAGCATGCGTTGCCCAAAGTTTATTACTGATGATGATGATGATCTTCTTGGTTCTTTCGGTACGTGACTTTACCGAAAGAACCAAGAAGATGAATCCCTGCAGTCACAAAAGCTTTAAATCGAAATTTGATGATGATGATGATGTAACAAGATGTTTTTGTTATATAGATACCTATATTTGTATAGTCCATTTATTGACAAAATGTGATTTGGGAAACATTTGACGAATTGGCACGTTCTGTTTACGTGACAACCCTTACTAGTTGGCTGTGTCGGGTGGTGGCGGGTTTGAACAACACATTTATATATTTACGCAATCTACCCCAAAAAACCTCTATTATGGAAAACATTTGACATGTCCCATAAAGGCGCAAATAATGATACAAACTAATTAAACTGCAATCCTAATCACGTGCATTATATTATATACGAAGGGTAAAAAAAAACACAAAACGATTAAGCACATGCTAAAGCACCCATGTTTGTTTTCAGACAAGCTCCAATTCTAAACATTTAAGCGCTCGCACGGCAGGATTGCTTGGGGGAACAAAAAAAAACAAAACAAAACTAAAAAAAATCGCTAAGTACTGGGCACATTCAGGCATTGGCTCACGACGAACCACTGAGCAAAATCCTGCTAGTGCACATGGGCGCATTGAGATACACCATTATCCCTGGGCCTGTTTAAAATGTACTTGCAGCTCTGTCCAATTTAACCAATCTCTATTTGTTAGCTACTCAGTCCTGTTGTCCCCTAACACAGCCCACGGCTGGCCACAAACCCCCGTGATTGCGGGTGCCTAGGGATTGGCAGCCAGCCCAGGTCAATGCTTGCAGCATCACCAACTCAGCGTCACTCTTATTACTGGCCGCTAATTCTTTCACCCACCTGGAGTCAAATTTTTCCCGGAAACAATTAAGCTCGACATCAATGTCCAGACAGGCAATCATGGATCGTGTCATTTTATAAGACTGCCTCCTTTGCGCAATTGTGCAGATGTCCAGGATTTGTGGAGGAAAACGGGTCTGTAATTTAAAGTTTTCATTGAAAATAGGACAAAACATTCGCATATTGAAGGCCCTGATGAGACATTATAGTTGCAAAGCAAATAAAAAAGATTTTTAATAAACCTTTGATTTAGCAATTAAAACACAGCCAATCAAGGTGCAATCATAATGTGATGTTGAATAAAGTTGGATTTTCAGTAGCGAGGAGCCAAAAAAATCGTGTTTTTTCCCCTTTATCAATGTATAATCACAATCAAACGTAAAATAGGAAGCTGCTTTATGTATATAAACTACCCCGACGGTATTAATTACCAACTTGTTCTATGAGACTATGGGCTTAGGGGTTGTGGTTTAATTACAGCACTGACACCGTGTACGTTATTTGTATGAAAAGTAAGAGTAAACATTTTTGTTCGTGCACACACATTATTAATATTGTTGAGAAACATGCTTTATCTCAAATGGATTATTATTTTTGTGTTAGTGTTTTTTCTAGACTGAATTTGTTTTGACTATACTTTACTTTGTATATATCCGAGATCTCCCTTGCTTAAGAAACTTGAGCCTCAGTGGGCTCTCGCTTGGTTAAAAATAACGGTGATGTACTGAATGTATAATCATTCCATGTGGTAGGTAAGGCATCTGGCCAACACAGGCATGGAAATTAATAAATTATGCAAAGTCCCACGCAGTCAACAATTGCCATCATCAATAACGTATTTGGAAGCAAGCTTAATTTCTCACTGAATATTTTCCATGTCTACAGTAGACTGGAGAAGGAGCGTGTCTAGTGGCCACAGCCATAGCAAAACCTAAACTGGATGCGGTGTCCCGGGCGTGAAAATATTTTCTGGAAGCTGACCCGGACAGTCCTGGCTGAAATGTAGTCCCGTGTGACATAATCGGATCAACTCAATCAGACTTCAAACGTGAGTGCATCTGCATGGGCATCTTTCGCAAGACCGAGCGGTAGCGCACTTATCAACTGTTTCAGAGGATCGTGGTTCAAGAAATACGTGCAGTGTGCTTCACAGCAGACGGTCAAGATCCCGTGCTGTTATTCTAAAAACAGTAGTCCACGTGTGCCGGCAATATGGTCCAAAATGTGAACGTTACCCACAAGTTACTTAATTGTTGAAAAACCATGTCAACATCACCCCCTACTGGCAGACAGTATCTGCTAGCCCAGGGGTTGGCAACCTGCAGCTCTTCAAGGACTGCTTCGCGACGTTATTTATTAAGGACCCACCGTCTCGTATCCACATTGCATTGCTGCTCCTGAAATATTGAGTTCTTTGACCGAATTCGAAAACAAAGCCTCCTCGTTATTTTGGTTTGCCGACCCCCGTGCTAGCAGAATGGCACGAATACGAAGCGCACCAATGGTCTCGTGGGGAATCGAAAACTCATCCGTGGAGCTCGCAGTTACCATGGGGTCCCTCTCGCCTCCGACGAGCGCCTTGACAGCTCCATCGCGGAGAGACACGGCCCGCACGGTGCTGCTCTCGCTGTCCGCCACGTAGAGGCAGCCACCGCCAGCCTCAGGGGCGAACGAGAGCCCCGAAGGCTGTGCGAAACTGGCCTTGTGCGGGTATGAGTTGTTCCGGTTCTCCTCGTTGCCACTTCCAGCCAATCGCACGCAAGTTCCTGCTTTGTGCTCCTGGCTGCGGAACGGGAAAATGCCAATGAACGATGGCGATGCCAAAACACACAAAAACAATCGGATGACACACACAAAGCTCCCTGCTGCCCTGCTCCCCCGCTCCCACCCCATTATAGCCATACGGACAGGGGCAGTTAGTGGGTACCTATTAAGGCTGCCATAATTAACACGTACGATGCAAACTATGAATTAATGTGTCACTGTGAAGTGAATGCATTTACAAATTGATGCGATCGCCTAATAAAAAACCTCTTACGAACTAAATCTTTGCGACAAACAACATGGGAGAAGTCATGCTGGGCACAGCAGCCTTGCTTTCAACGAGCCAAAGTGGAGTGACCCACGGGACAGAAAACGCAAATGGTATCACGTGGATGCGAGAGAAGCTGGCCAAATGAACCAAGTGCGTTCTCCCTTCGCGCCACAAAGTCTGAAGCACAAACACACAACGGTGGTGCACAGATAATCGATCTGGGTGAACGGCCACTCATACATTTCCCGCTGGGGTTTTAGCGCACATGGTAATAGGTACGCGCTCATGAAAATATGAAGTTGAAAAGAAAACCAACATAAGAATTGAGCCGTGGCAAGAAAGAGAGTCCCAAAACGCATCACATTTGGATGGCTGTGCAGTTTTTGCAAACTCTGACATTTTTAGAAGGCTCTTTGCAAGCAGCAGTGATTAAGTTGTCTCGAAACAGCTGTGAGGGTGGCGCGGCAGAGTGGTTAGTACACTTCACCGTCAACGCGAGTTCGACTCGCAGCCACGGCTCACATCAGTGGCGATTTATATCTGACCGATTCTTGGGTTCCCCCGTCACCAACCTGCACTGACCAGCGTGATGGAATATGGCCACAACACTTTCAACCGACAGTGTGGGGGAGGCCCTCATCCCTTTGTGGATCAACAAAAGGCTGCACATTACATTATTATTATCATTAAAAGCTGTAAGCAGCCACAACAATGTGGACCACAACAAATTGTAAAGAAACAAGCAGTATGGCCTAGCCATGTGTTAACGTAGCTTAGCCATGCAGGTGTTTGCTGTTTAAATTCTCAAGGGGACCACACGCATAATAAACTGCATTCCCAGCGTGGCGGCGGTGATCGTGATAGATTATTTAGGCATACAGGGCAGTCGGCGCTTCACCACAAACGGCTGCAACGACATTACAGGCCACACAGACACAAAATATGCTTTTTTTCATTTTTTATATACAGCATTAGGCCACCTGCTTCGAAAAGGAATGAAAACACGCAAACGTAAAATCTTATGCCTGCCAGACATTTAAAGAGTGTCCATTTTTGCAATGTATCTAAGCATGGGCTGTGACGCTGGGGAAATATGGTCGCATGTAGATCTGCAACTCGAAGCTCTGAATCATCCCCTGTTGAATAGTTTCCCTGTTGCACTCCCAACGGCGCTGTGATGGCCTGGGCAGGTAAAGCATTCCAACATGGCAGAGGTTTTTTTTGTTTACCTCGGCATGGATACGTTTCAAAATATAAAAAAATCACTCTGCCTTCATGAAGCTAGATAAAACAATCGTAGGTTATTTCTTAATATTGATATGTATTTATTTGCAATTGCTGAAAACAAACTTTCATTCATATATCTCAGCGGCGAGGTCGTTCCTTTTCCTATGCTGCCCCCTTAATTTTTTGGAACTCTTTCACCCTGGCCATCCGTGCTTCTGACTCCCCACCCTCTGTTCCTTCTCCTCCACCAATGACTGTCTCTTCTCTTACAACAATAAATATACTCACCTCCGTGTGCCCCGCGATGTGCATGCTACTGTTTTGTACAGAGTCTTTAGATCAGTGGTTCTTAACCTTTTTGGAGGTACTGAACCCCACCAGTTTCATATGCGCATTCACCGAACCCTTCTTAATTGAAAAATAAAATATGATTTTTTTCAAATTCAAAACATAGGTATATGTTTTACTGGTGCACAATCATATGAGTCGGGTGTGTGTCTTAACCTCCGCCGAACCCCTGAGACTGACTCACCGAACCCCTGGGGTTCGATCGAAACCAGGTTAAGAACCACTGATTTAGATGGTTGCATTTGTCATAAGCATCGCGATCTGTTCACACCACCGCACGTCGTGCCATTCCTAATGGCCTTGCATTGCCACGATCCATCTCGCTCCTTCACTTGGGCTAATTTTAATGCTCCATCTCCACAGTGGTGATCCTATTTGGCATGTTCCCTCCTGTGACTTGCCATTTCATTATCAATAATTTCCTGCAGTTAATTTCCATAGGTTGTAATCATGAACGTGTAATCAGAAAAGCTGAGATGGCTAACATTTTACGTTTTAATTTTTCCACTCCGAGTTTGGGAAAATATCTTCTAATAGTGCTGTGAATAGCTGAATACTCTTGTGATTTGTATTTTGTTAATTTACTCATGCAGTCTCAGTGTAGCTGTCCTATCTTTATGCATATTACGATACATCTATTGTTGTTTTTAATCAACACGTTTGTTTGTGAATGCTTCAACAACTGCGTCAGTTTCCACAGAATAAAATGCATTATCATAGTCCACAAAAGCCTTATGTAAACATGATGGTTTTTTGGTGTTTTCTATACTCTGCTTGATAGTATGTATGCAGTCAATGTTGGACTCAGTGAAGTGAGGAGAAAAACGTTTAAAATCCCATGCACTTAAATAGAGGTAGCTATTTCCATCATAGCAGGAGAGTTACGCAGTTTCAGCTTAGGCATCTGCCCCATCTCTTAAGGATTCTAACAAAAGCATTGTGGCCACGCTTACCTACTGCGGGGAAGTTTTCCCTCTGAGAGAAGTATGCCCAGATCTGGTGTGTCCCAGCCATGGCAATGAACAGGACACTGTCGGGTTCGCCATCTGCGGGGGGCAGTCATGAGTGCAGGAGACGTGGCAAGCAGAGGGGGGGGGTGCAAGAATTCGACTCAGGAATCTATTATGTAACACTGCGGGGAACGGTAATGGCCCATAGTATCCGTACGGGTGATGTGAACCCATAACATACAACGCATGTATGTTTACCCAGTAGAGTTTGTTATCAATTTGCAACAGGCATTTAAATTATTAGGAGACAAAAAATAAGTTTCGTTTTCTGCAATGGGCTCTTTATTGGTCACGGAGGTAAACTATCCGTTACTGATACATCATTAACATTTATTTTTTACGTGTAAGCACACGTTAAAAAAACGTAAACACCAACAAGATTTCAGGAATTTTAAACTAGTGAAATAAGTTACGAAAGTAAAACATTTAACTCATTTCATTGTTTAAAATAGTTGTTTATCCTGAACGCTAATGACAGTTTGTTGGAGGGGTAATTAGGATTGAGAAATTGCACAACTAATTTACATTTCTGGCCACTTAAAAAAAACACACACTTTTCCCTCAGGCTAGAACACATTACCATTTGCCAGCATACAATGAAAACTACATGCTAAAGGACTGGAGCGACAAATAACATTCCCAATCTGTGCCCAACAATAGGAGCGTAAAGAGGTTAAGGCGGAGGTTTTGGCCATGTAGAACGCACCTCCGATTAGCGTGATTGGCTACGCACAGTGCGAAAGACGTTCAACACACATGCATACATACACGCGGAGAACGGAGGAGCACGTTGGAAAGAAGGGGCAGGACAAAGGGAGCGTGAGGGCGGCTGTAGCAGCTATGGGTGGATACCAGCAGGAAGGGCATGGAGGCGTATGAAGCCGAGCTGACAGAAGAGTGGACAGCGAGGACTCGATGCACGTCGAGATGAATGCCACGGTGAACGTGAATATTTCGTGACCGAGGCCACGTCAACACCACAGTTGTCCCACCTACAGCGTTGATTAATCCATGCCATTGTCCTTGACAGCATTCAAAATGTTAATGATGATTAAGGGGTTTCTGCTGAGGTTAACTTGTGGTATTTGTTCTAATGCTGGAAGTAGAAAGTCTGAAAATAAGTTTTGGATTCATTTAAGCAGTGGAATCACATAACCATAATGCAAGTGAACATCAGTGCACATACTTGTACAGCTATTGTGGTAGATTTTTTAAGTGCTTGCTTTTGTTAAGTTTATGTTATGAATTAGCTTAAAATATCTGTGTATGTCAGACAGGTATATTATTTAAATGGCTGGCTGCCTGTTTGCAGGAAGAGACACATTGTGTAAATAAATAAATCTGTTGAATGTCGTTAATATAAACAATTTAAATCGTGTTTGTTACAGTTTAATAAGCATAAGCCGGATCTGTCACTTTACATTTTTGAATAATACCGTTAAGTGAGGAATTCTATTTTTTGTGCTGACAAATATTCGAAGACTGAATATACGATTTATTTGGCAACATTTTATCAAAACATTGCATTGAAACGCCTTTAAATTCTCGAACAGTAAGTCCATTAATTAACCCAAAAAAATCAAATGACGGCAAAACGAATAACATTACAAAATAACAAGCAATAGGGCGCCTAAAATAGTCCCAGGAATAACATCACATTACAGGCAAGACCCACACACAAGTGCGCAGTGGTACTGGAAAATTTCTTAAACCAAAGCCAGAACAGCTTCGCCCACAAAACAGAGGCTGGGGGTTACTGAAACTGGGGCATTGTTAACACATCAACTTACAGTAACTCCAAAATACAAATAGTTGAGGCTCTTCTTCTACTCACATATCTACCAACGGGGATTTTCTTGGGACGTTTTCGCACTGTATTGTTTTGTTTAAATTGTAAGGCGACGGGAGTTCACGGTGCGGCAAGAAGCTGGAAATAAATAAATACGTAATACTTCCAGTGGAGGTCCAACAAAAAGAAGAGGGCGGGAAAAAAAAGGCCGCAGCACCAGCGGCGCGGGGCAATCATGAAACAAGGAATGCTGCCACATGTTGCCTTCATAACAAGCAGCAGCACGAGCAAAGTTTACGAGCGCAAGGCGGCTACGCAGTTTCTATACTGGTGCAGCCAGTGCTGCGACTAAGGCAATCAACTGTGTATGGATACGTGACAACAACAAAAACAATCACTCAACTACCTTCATTTGTAGGTGCAGTTCGAAATGTGTAATTTTGTAATGAATAAATTCAATATCGCGGATTTCCATACTTTTTAAGCGTTGCCTTTTTATCAGAGCTAAGAAGCATTTTGGGCCACGAAATAAATCTACCCATACGCATAAGCGCAGGTGTAAGATTTCCCCCATCATTTAATGAGAACATTGAACCAATAAAGCTGTGACCTTTCTGGGATTACGGAGGCCTGCTTAAGGCCAGAGTCTTCATAAATTAGCAAAAGTGCAGGCGTCTTTCAAAAATGTTTTGTTTATTTTTTAAGTAAAGTACCCTGGGCAGATTTCTGAATTGTTCAGGGCGCGCATGCAATGCCATTGGGTACTGAACCAGCACGTTTTTTGGAAGCCTCATTAAAATCCAGGCGAAGGGAAGTGAAGTAGGAGTTTCTGCTCAATCTAGAGGGAGATCCTTCTCTCATTTGACAAACTTGAAATGAAGAAAAACTCATTAAATTAATCTCTAACACTGCAGTGCAAAAGACAGAGGGCTCACATTTTGGGTGAATAACGTCTTGCTCAGTGGAGAGTGCAGAAAGACTGACTTAAAATTTGATAGGGCACTTTAAACTGCGCTGTATAACTATTACTAAACTATACATTTCGATCAAGCTCTCTGTTGTAAAATGGTGCCATTGCTTAAATGTTAGCCTGTAATATATATGTTACAAAGCAGGATTAATGGATTAATGATGTCGTATTTTTTTTAATTATTTGCACTACCAATGCAGCAGCTCCTTAATCATTCATTTGAAATCTTCAGTCATGTCCCATGGTCAAAGTTCCTTCACAAAAGATGCATTTTAATAAGCAATCTTACTATTTGTGGCTGGACTTGATTTCAAAACAAGATTGATTTCACAAGCTGATAAGTGCACAAAACACGTGTAATGTCGCAAGACGGTCAAAATTTAATGCACCAGCCCAGCAGTGAAATGGTACATGTTGATGTGCTCGGACAGAGCTGGTGCCTTTGTCAGGAAGGTCACTCAGAGATCAGGTGAGCAAATTAAAAACATGCAAACGTAGTTCCGCCTTTATTTTTTGACAACTGTAGCCAACTGTCATCGACAGGCATTTTAAAACCAATTTTCGTGACAAATGAAGATTACTTTGGCGGACATCATGCGAAGAGAGTATGTCCAATTTTCCTTGGTTCCCATCGTTAATTAAAATAATAACAAACAAGTCAGTTTCCTCTGTTTTGAGCAGAATCAATATTGGATGTTATGAAATATTTACCTCATGAGACAGAAACGTACAATATGTGCTTATGTTTGGTAATTTATATTCCCTGCACGTTGCAGCTAATACATATATATATGATTCTTCAATTAAGATGAGGAAGGGTTGATATTATTTTAAATGTCAATTACTTTACTCAAGTCACATACTTACTGCCTTATTCATTATTCATCATCAAGGCAAAATGTTGACTTTGGGCTGGACGGAAATAACTGCGTACTAAAAAGAATGGCATTATTAAAGCTATTATTATTGTCGAAGTGTGTGCTTTGCATGGAACAGACCTGCAATGCTGCCAAGGACCAGGTCCCAGGGGGAGCTGATTGGCTGCTTTAGACCAGGAAGGCCGCCCTCCTTGTCCGTGCCTTGCGACCCCGTGCCGATGAGTGTACTCACTCTCTTCTGTGTCATATCCACCTGTCGTAACAGCCGTGGGCATTCAGTGACCAAGACAGTTCCGACAAAGAGAAATCCATGAGTTTCATATGATTGCATTATGTAAATACATGTACAGCCTTTCCGTTAATCCACTGCAGGATGAGGCGCCTTCTCCACGCCGTGCGGGTTGTGGGGATTATTCGACTATCCTTTGTCACGATGGTCAGTGCGTGTTGGTGAAGGTGGGGAGCGTGGATGTGAGAGCATAGCAGCACAGCACGACTGATTTTGCCATGTTTATAAATGGGAAGGAAAAACCGGAGGACCCAGAGAAAAATCTACATGACCACAGAGAGAGAGACATGCAAACTCCAAAAATACAGGCATCAGGGTCGGGATCGAACCAACGACCTCCTGTATACCAGGCGAGGTAGTTAACATCTCGCCACCGCGGCCACCAAACTTAGCTCACAACAAATGTATGCGCATGGGAGGGGCTTACGAGCCGGACGAGGTGGTTGTTCGTGTCGGCCACAAAGATGTGCTGACCCCGTACACAAACTCCCTGGGGCGAGTTGAAGCGAGCCTCCGAAAATTCTCCATCCACACAGCCCGGCTCGGGATCTGGGGTGGGACCAGGTGGGTGGAGCGCAGTGGTGGTAGCATCAGGACAAGCGTAACGTAAATCCAGGCATCATTAAGCGGGGTAGCGCACGGGAAACATAGCACGCAGGCTCTCACACCCATTTAAGATGTTGGTTCAGCGCAAGTGCAAGCAAGACAAATGAAGGCATCATTGAACACAAGTGGAAAATAAAGTGAGCGATTTTTTCAATTCCATAATTAAAATCCTGAAAACTAACTCCGAGCAGCATTGCTCCTCTTGGGAAAAGGAACGCATAAAAAATGTGAAAAGTGCATTCGAACACTCTTTGTGTTGTAGGGTTTGTAGCAACAATAACAAATGCAGTTACGTTCATTGTAAAGGTACATACATAAAGCATTGGCTGCATGTCCATGGTAAGAAGAAACTATTTATCTGTAAGTGCTCTGATGTTGTATGCCGGAATGCACCACACGGGTCTGCCAAAACCTTCAACAAAAATCCGTCATCACAGAGAAATGTCCCATCAGACTTTGCATTACACCATATTCTTTTTTTACACTCTGCTAAATATACATGCATGTCCACAGGCACAATCTCACTTTCAATGCAATAACCTTTTGGACACGTAATCCTTCTAACATGATAAATGTACTGCAGAGTGGCTTTTGTACACTGGTACCTAAGACTCTGGTCATCCGAATACGTGAGGTACAACCTTAGGATCCACGTCGTTTGGGACCCAATATCTCAAGCATTGACCCTGCTTTCATATACAAATGCCCATTTGAAAGAGAGACAGCCAAAGAAAAACAAATAGCTTTTGTCTTGTAGCTACATACCTAGACTGGGTGTCCCAAGTTGTCAGATATGACGTTTAAGTGTTGTTGATAAGATTGTTTTTTTTTTATATAGCCAAGAAAACCATTATGGTACACTAGTAGATATGTCACTACGACATCAATCGAATATAACTTAAAAATAAATAAATTCAGTGATGTCACTAGAATCCGCTTCAATTTAATGTATTCTTATTAAAGCAGACTCAAATTCACATCTTCAAACATGGGACACACTGCTCCTTGGTTCTTTCGGTAAAGTCACGTAGAAAGAAATTTAATTACTTTGCCGAAAAAACCAAAGAGTACTTCCTGCAGTCACAAAAGCTTCGAATCTATGGGACACACTGCTTAGACCCATATCTACCACATCTGCATCTTCCATTACATTTCCACAACTCGCATTCACAACTTGCCTCCACAGCTCAACGAGCGGCAAAATTAAATGTGCAATTCCAATAATTTTATACGAAATCCTCCAAAAAAATCTAATCATTATTTTTCCACAGAACTGCTCAATAGGTAAAAAGTGAAAGGACAGTGGGGGCAGGGGAGGGGAGGAGAACTTTCATAAGCTATTTCGGCCTAAACTGCACCACTCCAAAGGAAATACCCGGCACCTGCACTGCGGGTACGCCAGCCATATCAAGAACCGCAGGTGTGTGTGGGCACTAGCTGCACAGCGCGCTATTGTGCACAGAGGGATCGTTGCCGCCAAAGTTTTAAGACACGGCCAAGCGGGCAAGGCCTTGAGCGCAGGATCGGCAATAAAGAAGAGCGCTGGCATCGCCGGCGACACGGGGAAAACAGGAACGCCGGGAACCCGCGGAGGGAGTAAAAAAAAAACTCTGAACCAACGCTTAAACGCGTTCATCGGCGATTGGGTTTTGTCAACGGGTTAGGCGACAAACACGGACCCCCGTATCGTGGCGTGAGACCGAAATCTCTCGGGTACAAAAAAAAAATCCAACGGGTGCGTACAGTGCGGCGGTGGAAAAGTAACACCGCGAGATTTCTGATAATCCCTCAAGCCTGCGTTTCCTGTTGTGCCGGTGGTACTGGGTCTGCAAAGAAGTGCGACTGACAAAGCGCCGTGAACATTGCGACATCAAGTGGGACGAATCCAACAAAGATGCTGGCCGCAGTTTCAGCGATTGAGCTTGCTGGCGCTCTTTTGTGTGCCATTCGTTTTTTTAAACTGAAGTTTTGGTAAAAAGAAAGCCATCTTTTGTGAGTAAAAACGGAGCGCATTAAAAAGCCATTAGTTAATGTTCGCAACATGTGGGTGTGCAGAATAAAGCACACAGGATATTTTAAAATACCAGAGGTATTTTTCCCCAAGCCAGAGTTTAATTCTTGATGAGCATTTAATGGTATTGTAGTGTGACACTGCCCTCTGCAGATTTAACAAGTATTTCAAATGCCAATAAAAACCCGTGACTGCTAATGATACTTTAAGATTTTATGATAACATTTGAAAATAATTCTGTCAATGAAAATGATGTAATTTTTTGGTGAGGGTCATTTTAAATCTCGATGGTAGGGCCTTACGGCTGCCCGACTGTTTCCAAAAACCGCACGCGGCTGATGTAATAAATACAGCCGTCTCGATACGCAGATAATCCCTCCGAACCAAACCGCCTTCAACGAGCTCGTGCATTTGTAAAACATGACGCATGTGCCCACAACCCATTAGCGCAAGTCTGGCAATGAAAGGGACACGCAAGCCACGCTGACCTAAATCCAGAAGAGAACTCTGTTCATCAGCAGCCCCTGCCTTGCTCACAGGCTCACCTCCAATGCAGTGCAGCACTCGGCCACTGCTGTCCGTCACGAGGACGGTGTGGTGGGCCGTGTCCGCCACGACCAGCCTCTCCTCGCCATCGGCGTCGAGGGCACGCGTCGCGCACACCTTCCCCGGGAAGAGCAGCAGGGAGGGCGGGAGGGAGTCCTTGTACGGCTTCACTCCGACGCTCTTTGCATTCAGCTCACCCTTTTCTCTAGGGACAAAAACACCAACCATCATCATTATCAATAAACCACTATTTAAACCAGGTAAAAGTGCATTGAAAGCCAAAGTCTCTTTTTGGGCCCGCAATGCAATGCAATACATTAATGAATAATAAACATGGTAAACACAACACATTTAACAACAATTGAGAATAAAGCCGTGTAAATATTACTTCAAGATAATAATATTAGGTGCTTTGAAGGACTTAACTAAGAGTACATGAGAATTGGTTCTCTGAGAAGGTTTGTTTTGAAAAGTTCACAAACTAATGCGCTTTACTGCTCCCAATAAAGACCTGACACAAACATCTGAACCCAATTCATGAGAAACTCTTAAAAGGCGAACAAAAATTTTACCGAATGCCAACAGAAGCTCGCACTACAAAAAAAGGCAGCAACAATGGCAGTCCAAATAATACCTCATAAAAGTGTAATCACAAAGATGCAGGAAATGTTTTGTGAAGCATCTTGAGAAACAAAAGTGGAAGAAGATTCACCCTGTTTGCGTTTATAACCGGGCGGATATCACGAGTTTATTTTCAAGCTCAGACACGGAAAAAACAGTATCCACCAATAGCGCCCCCCCCCCTCACGCCCCACCATATTGATGGCAATCAGACAAGCTCAAATTACCCTCCCGGTAGGCAGCACCTATCTTATCCAGCACTGCCCGCACAGTGAGCAGCACGCTGCCCCCCTTCCCCCGTCTCTTCCGCCCGGCAGCTGAGTCGGCGCTCACCGGTAATAGCGCAGCACCGCCGACACAAACGAGTGGAGTGTGGCTGCTCGGCCCTCGCCGACAAGCGCCAGCAGCGGGTTGGCCCGAGGGCCCAGCACCAAAAGCGTGGGCCAGCACGACACGCTCAGGTCCTGCCAGAGGCTTGCTTCCCCGTCACATGCCACCGGGTGGCCGATGGCGTAGCGCAGGACGGCCGCGCGCACGCTGGCCGTGAGCTTCTCGTGCGGAAACTTGGCCGAGTGCACGCCGACCACCAGCAGTCCGTCTGCCGGGCGGAGGGAGGCAAAGGTTAAAATCACGGTTATGGCCAGATGTGAGGTCGAAGGGAGGGTTTAACTTCACAACTAATGTTTTGCTTTCTTTGATGCCATCAGATGAGACGAAGCAAATCGTATTAAAAAACTCTTCCTGTGATGTGAGAGAATGGCACAGAAAGATAAAAGTCACAAAACTGTTTCTGAAGTCACTGCAATAGGTCACTATATCACACCAGGGGCACGGATTGTTTAATGCCCCGCAAAGAGTATTTTTTGCATGTCAAAAAACTTAAATGTTCAAGTTTTTGAGCTGGAATTTGTAAAAATGTAACAAAAAACTAGTTTAAATGTGACGGGTTATTTGTAAAGTCAATGGTGACCAGGCTGAGTCCAACAAATTGCTATATTTGAGAACCCGGTTTAATCCTGGGCATCTGCTCAGATTCAAGCCCAGGATATCAGCATTGCCAGACGAGTGTTGTGATCCCAGCACTATCCAGTCACATCTGATAAGAGTTTAGCCGTTAATTCAAAGTTAAGTTTGTAACCTCGAGTGAAGCTGCAATCGCAAGCCTACTCATAATGAGAAACACTCATGCACTGAGTATACAATGATTGGCTGTCCAAGCAATTTGATGAATTGGCACTTTTCGTGGTAAAGTAATGAAATTCGATTCAAGAGCTGATTCTTTTTGTACTACTGTGGTGAACGTATTTACTCGAGCGGTAGTAGGGGTCACGTGAATCAATTTTATCGAACGTCAATTCATTGACAATAATTGATCCTCAAACGCATGATTTAATGCAATTATCATAGGTGTAAGAATCGATTATTAAGTAAAACTGATCACTGCATTATTACATACCTACATGTGAACACAGTAAGAATTTTAATGCAATTAAATTGAAATGTTTTGTTTTATCAAAAGTTTTTTTCATATATATTCCAAGAAAAAATATATCTGGTGTCAATGGACTTTAACCTGGTGATACAGGAATTCAATTACATATCTTAAATAGAACTCAAAATCACCACAACCACTGACAGAAATTGTAGTCAAAAACCATTTACCGTATTGTATGATTGACAGGCACAGACACATTAGCATTGTTGCTTTAGAGGGTATATATTCGTATCATCCACTTGTGTTTCTATCGCTGACAAAACTTGGGATGTGAGACATGTGCCCACATGCAGCGATAACCACATGTAAGTCCATCCCGTCGAAACAAACAAACCAACCCCGCAATTCATGTTTGTCTTGGCAAAACTACGTGGCTTACCCAACGACATTATGCAACAATAATTTATCGGAGGGTATTAAAGATCGACTTATTTCAGTGCTCAATACAACCCAATCAAGTGGGTATAACATTTCTGTGCCGGTCTTTGGTGCATTCATCAGTTGCTTTTAATAGACGTGGGTGACGACTCCACAAAACCCGTCTTTTAAAGAGGGCAGCCTCCCGCAACATCAGTCACCATAGCTATGCTTGGCTCCCGTTTGCTGCTGTTATGCTTGGACGCGTTTCACGTTTGCCTGGTCAATGTTTCCCTTTCTAAACATCCCTGAAAGCATCTCACTCAGGACTCCTGCCACCAGGCGAGCCCCTCTGTCAACACTCGGCTGTCACCATTTGACGAAGAAGCCAAACGGGCCACGGAGGCACACCACAAACGCTCCCTTTTGTGAATCCTCGCTTATCAACATCATCGCTCTGAATGCAAACGTCACCCTTTTTGCGTGGCGTTTCCAGCAAATATCACTCGCTGTTCCAAGCAAATGTCACTGCTTAGAAGACCACACAATATCTAAATGGCGCTCAGTACATGTTTACAATAAAATGCGTTGGCCAAATGCTTTTAGTAATTCTCAGCATTATTGATTTTAATGAAAGTCTGATGGTTTTGTGGTCATATGAGACTGCGACTCATATCCTCGGATTATAGCACGTTGGTTACAAACGATGGATGTTATGCAAGTCGGCCTCAGAGAAATAATTAAGCAATTATGGCTTTTTTTTGCCATTTCAATACGCATACCGCGGTCTGACAGGGGCCTTGTAAAAACAAATCGCCGTTTAAATGCCCACACGGTCGAACCGTTGCAGTGAGAGAAATAATAAAACAAATTCACAGAAGAAAAAAGGTAATCCATTTTACAAACCACTGCATATTGGGTCTCCAAAAAGTCAATTTCATAAAACACTTTACGGTGCAATAAATGACTCACCCTTGCTGAAAAATACATAAATGTAAAAAGAGGTCACTGCATCACATCACTAGTTTGAAACGCAGCTGGAAAGATGACAACTGAAGTGACTTGGGTAAACGTGCCAAACTCCACAGATTTCCTCTCACCATACCCACATTAACCTCACAGTCCTCAATCTCATCGAGGAGTGCCTGCACAGCAGAATGCAATGCATCAAAGGTCATGGTGACTTAGTAGGCTAGGCTTAAGGGGTCAGTATTTCACATTATTACAAACCCTATCCACAAACCCTAATCGTGATCTGTCAAGGCGGCAATGGGACACACTATTCCCGCAGGCGTAAAGGCAAAGACATGTCGCCTTAGGGCTGCGAAGCAATCGGGCTTGTGTACGGACGTGTGACGAAGGTGGCGATTGGCTGGGCATTGGGTAGGCACCTTTCTCTGAGAACTTCTCTTCCAGGGCATGCAGGTCTGGGAGAATGTGCATGCAGTTGATGCAGCAGAAGGTGAAGAAGTCCACCACCAGCACCTTGCCCTGTAGGTCTGCGTGCAGCGAAAGAGGTCGCTCCACATTGACCCACTCCAGGTCTAAAAGGCGACAAGAAACGCCGGCACGTCAATATCCGGTAAGGTCAGGTGGGCCCGTGCTCATCCAATCTCCTGAGTCAGCAGCTTGGGATTCAAACAGCAAGCTCGGACGCCACGTGATTATGCACCAAAGGAATTATCGCTGCAAAGAATGCACACGGCGAGTGCTTGCAGAGCAATTCTTTTGCTGCATAGTGTGAAGCTATAAAGTAATATAGCACTTTTTTATATTTGCTGAAAGCCAAACACCTTGAATGTGCACGATCTTGCGAAATCTCAGATGGTGAGTAGATTTGCGAGACCTGGTTAGTATTTGAAAGGGTGACCAACAGGGCTTGCCAGATGTTGTAGACATGGAACTGCAAGGTGGCACAACTGAGTGTCTCCCCCCTCGCATGGTTTCTTGCTATAAATGCGGTGACATTGAAATGCTATATGAATCATTGTTGTATTGTAAAACCGTCCATTCATTTATGTAATTAGCCAAACATCCCAATGCTGAACCCTATTTGTAAAAAAAAGACTTGAGACCCCCGAGAGGGTTTTTTGTATAGATGCTTAACATTAAAAGTAAATTGACAAATTAATTACGTGTTAACACATTCACATTATAAGCATTGAGATTAACATGGGATGTTTAAAAAGATTAACAAATGTCTGTGAGATGTGGTGCAGGCTCTATTTGCTTGGAATGACAGCGAACCTTCACACTGGCTTATAACAGCTTAAGTTTGGCAAGGGTGCAAGCCTAACTGTAACCACCACCACGAGCCAGTGACAGAAAGGCACGTGGCTCATGCCCTTGGCACATTGCCAATGAGGCCAGGTTTAGGGTTTCTGGCCAGTGAACCCTGAACTTGATTTCAAAACGTCCAACAAAAAAAAACCTACAAGGAATTTAAATTGATGTTAAGCAAGCACAAAATGCCAATTAGGCAATGTTTAATCTAACTAGCCTTTTTAAGGACAGGATAAATATTTGGAAGTTTTTTTTGTCTTTTATATTATTTTTACACGGTTAACAGAAGGATTTTGAGAAAATCTATTGGGGATATCAATAGTGACGTGTCTGGTTCAATAGGAATTTAGAACACTTGCACTCTATGTTCTATTTAAGTAGGGGCTGATGTTTATACTTTAAAAAATATGTGGTGTAGACTTCCATAATTTAATCCTCACAGCTGGTAAAACAGATATACAACTGTAGCCATGAAAGTACATCAGAAGCAAAGCGAAATGTTGGGAGAGAGAGAAAACTCATTGATGAATCAATACCTTTATATACGCACAAGAGTAGCGATATAAATAAATACAGAGACGAGAGATGTGGAATTCAGCCAGTGACTTCAACAACACGTCACTAAAAGCTATGTGAATATCCAAGCACATGTTATCGAGGTCAAGCCGTGCTAAAGGAATTTCAGAACATCTCATAATACCAAATCAATACCACCATATTTAAATTACCTTTCCATACACCATCTCCCACAAGGGGCGGGATAGCAATAGCTGTCCACCTCGAGTTGCTAAGATATATTCTTGTAACTTAATTTTTCATAGCTGAGCTCAAAGCAATACGATACCCTTGCCAAATTGAGAAAGCGTGCGGGCCAAGGTCTGGAATCGTTTGGTGGGGGAGAGGGGGCGGAGGCGCTTATCAAAATCGTGGCGCGGTCAAAACTTCCACCATTCACACGGCGACTTTACTGTGAAGACACACGAAAGCGTGCTCAGTACATGCCGTGAAAACCGGGGGAACTTACCCCAAGACATGGACCCGCACGGAAGCCAAGGTTCATGAACCACCCTGAAATATGGAACAATATTTATAGATATTTAGAGCGGAGCATTTTTCAACTCGCTCTTTTTTTCTTAAGGCTCTCGACTTCGATGCCAGTCCCGTGGTAACTAATAAAGATTAATGGGCCAACCATTTTTGGGAGACGAAGAGTGGGGGGCGGGGGTGGGGGGGTGCGGAATATAAATGGTAATGATGGCTTGTGTCACGTTGTTCATACTCTCAAGACAAGAGAGATTCCTGTACGCGTGCTGTGCGCTGTTGTGCGTTGCACACTCCACCAGCCAGCAGGCAAGGTCAGAACTATGTCAATGCGGTGACTCTTTTTTTATTAATTAGCTCTTAGCTCTGTCGTCTGTCTGTAGGGGGGGGGGCGGGCGGGACAGGGGCGAACGCAATAAATCTCGTAAAAATGTATCAAATATGAACTGAAGTTTAGTGTAATGTTTTATTGCTATTAGGGACTTACCCAATGGGAAAAACCTGCCAAATAAATGAAACGGTCGCCCAAAACAAGCACCGAAGGAATTCACAAAACGGCACTAAAGGGGAGGGGGGAAGCCTCGTCTCTCTCCTCCCGATGATGGCATGACAGGTGCTGTCCTCTCGCGACATCAAAGGTCATGCGCCGCGAGACGTCATGTCATTGTGCAGCTTTAAATATAAGTTATCGCGAATGAAACACTTCTTAGGTGATGGTCAGATATGCAACGTTGTGCTGTAGACACTTGCATTAATAGTTTCTTAAAGCGCGAGTGCTTCTTTTATAAAAAAATTTATCTCGTTCTTTCCTTTCGTTTCATTCACGGGAACCCGCACTAAAGACAGGGGGAACCACAGCGAATGATGTGAATTGGGACCGTACCCTTGTGCACGCGGCTGCTACCGGCAGCCGAGGTCCTCGTACTTAAAACCCCTTCGCTATTTAGCATTGACACTGTGTAGGCAAAGCTTCAAAAACAATTACCTTCACGACACCACTCACCGACAGTCAGGGGTCAATAGTACAATGCACATCACTGTGTAAGAGAGCACACGTATATATGTATATACGTCATGACCGGCAGTCAAATGGTTTAGAAATACATATTTTGAAAACTGTGCTAAACTAACGTCACTTATTTTAAAAGTCCTACCGTACCATAATCATGGTACACAGTAGTAGAATTAAGAGGTGCACAGTGTGTTTTAAAATGGATTTTACCCATGAGCCTTTGGATGTCTTAAATGTCCTGTTCAACATTTTTACCAACCCTTTGTATACACAGTATAACAGCACCAACATGCATGATATATCCACTGCTGAATGAAAGCCTTCCCAAGATGTCGCCATCTCTTACGGGCTAGTGATACAACAATCCAAATCCAACTCTTGCCCACCAGCTGATTTCATCGCTCCACCTGTGTGGAAGATGTCCTCTCGGGCGTGTTTTCTCCTTTGGATAAATATGTTGACAATAGATGTTGAGAAAGTACGTCCACCGAAGAGATTGACCAATCGAATCAGCCCATGTGCAACTGCGAGGTGGATTGTTACATCACAAACCCATGAGATTTGGCGACGAATTGGGGAGGTCTTCATCCAGCAGCGGATCGATCACAGCTGCATGATGTCGTTAATACCGTGTCTAAATATTTAATGACTATTGGTAGGGAAGTGCAATTTTCGGCAGCCTAAATGGTCTGTGAACTTGAAAAAAAAGACAAAACGTTAAATAAAAACAAACAAAAGAGCAGCAACTGGCATGAAGTAGCCATAGCAGAGAAGACATTTCTCCAGTATCAACAATAATCCCTCTGTGACCTTTTAGATCGGTACCAGATGTGGCAGACACAAAACCACTCACTCCACCCACCAAATTCCTGCTAACAAATGAACCGGTCGTAAATATTTCTGCATCGTAAACAGATCACATTGCCGTCCCATGCACATGAAAAGGAAAAACTGAAAAAAATGCGTAACATGTTAACAACATCCTTGGGAAGAAAGTAAAAAATATTGAAAGAGGAAAATTAGAAAAATAAAAAGACTGGTAAAAAATGATGTTCTTTTGAATAACGTGAGATTTTGTTTTTAAAAAACCCAAATAAAATCTCTTTTTCTAAATTTAAACATGTTTAATTACACCCTCTGGACTCGCCCCTACCAAGTCCCTTTGAATTTACACAAACTTAACGGAACATTAAAGCGGGGTTGGCAGATTTTCCCATGTAATTACAGCAATCGTGCCCACGATAACAGCTGCCTGCGTTATCAAACCGTTCAATTTTTTATTACAGTTAATTACAAAAATTACATCATAAAATAATTAAAATGACAATAAGCAATGTGTTATATAGCACACAAGTGCAACAAACATAGGAGTCTAAGCCAACATTGGCCATAGTTTTTTTTTTGCCAAAATAAAATGTACATTTACATATCTTTAGTAATCCACTGCTAGATGAAGGTCTTCCGATGCAAAATCGTCATCGGGGTTGTTTGACCATACTTCACCGCATTGGACAGTGCAGGCTAAAGGTCGGGGCGCAGGACTGGTTCAGATATCACTTGCAATTGATGCTAGCGGCGAAAATCGGATCGTGCCGAAATCACCGCGGTTCGGAGCGCCGTGAGCTAACTGCTACATCACCGCTTCCCCTAAAATGCTGAACCTGAAACTTGACATCAAAACACAAATGTTTTGGAACTTTTCCACACTGTTTGCCATGCATAAATAGTTCAATACTTCGGCCTGTTTTACATATTAAATAAACATGTTCTGACCCGCTTTCGTGAAATAATCTTATTTTGTTGTAAATTGGGGGGGGGGGGTTATGCTCTTTACGAGTAAAACACAATCTTCACACGACGAAAATGTTGCAAATATAATTTCAGATGCACACCTACTATTTTTACTGCCAATTTTGCTTCTGACAGGAAGAAGAAACATTGCCATGTTTTCGGCACTCAAATACAGCCTTCCGTCAAGCACACCGTGACAGTTAGTTTTCCGCATGAATTGGTTCCAAATCTGCCCAACTACAACCAACATCTCCGCAAAAAGTGTCATATTTCACTCAATGATGACGCCGCCGGCTCTCACTTTCCCCATTTGCTCTGCAAGCAGGCAGCAGCAGCATTACCTAGGGAATTGTTACGTTTACAAAAAATTAACAAACCATATCAATATCGCTATTTCCCTACCAATGACAATCTATT